CAAAATTCTGGTACTATAGCCAATATTAATAAAAGTAACATTAGCCTTCTTGTGGAATTATTTCTTTGGTCTACATAGTGGGGCTGACAGCAATCTTTCAGGCCTGGCTGTGCTTTAATACGCATACCACTCCTTACACTCATGTGAATTAGAAAGGTGTCTGCCTGAGTCACTTGTGCATACCTTCTTCTTGTTTTGGGCTTAAGTCACGATATCTGCTTTGGTAACAGATCTGGCCCATATCTGTCAGAGGTCATCTTTCTCACTCTCTACAAGTACTGACAAGAGTTTGGACCCTATTCTGCTTTGGCAATGGAGATTCTGCACATAGAAAGTCTCAGGGAGGAGAGAAATGGGGTGAGGAATGCCTCTTTTGGGGCCAGTTACTTGCAGAAGACTCATGGATCTGGTCCTGCTAGTTTTCTGACCTTATGGGTGGGATTGGTGAACTGCCACCAAAGAAGCATTCATCACAACTTCTCTCCTGCTCACTTCTCTCCCCTTTGGTTTTTCTGCCTTCCATGGCAACAGAAACAGGGGAAAAGAAGAATAAAACAGGGATGAGAATGGTAGGAAAGGCAGGAGAATGAAGGTACAACAGTCTCCCAGCATCCAAGGGCCCACTTTGCTGAAGCGATGGGGAGGCTTTTGTACTACTGTATGCAGTATAGGCACCATGCAGCTTTGATGGTGCAGTATCTCAGATGGGGAGAGGGAGGGATTTTGTAGCCAGCAACCTTGCAGTAAGGCTGCCATGGAATTTCTATGGGCTGAAGAACTGCTTCCATCCGAGTTCCAACTAAGCATCTCTTCAGCTGCTCTGAGAGTAAGTGTATCTTTTCAGTGCTGGGACTAAAAAGACCTACTTCCCCTCTTTTTTTTTTCTCCCCATTTCTCCTAGCACTCATGAGTTGGGAAGAGAAATGGGCTTTTTAGGCACAGTGGGAAACCCCTGACTCTCCTACTGACTCTCTGTTGCCAAAAGGCAAATATTTGGTCCTGAAAATCAGTGGTTGGGAACACAGAGTGTATGTACCCATATTAGCCTCAGGTGATCATGAGCAGCAGGGCAAGCTCCTACACTTACAATTATCTAGAATAGATTTGCCACAGACTGGCCACTCAGAATCTTATGCTGGCGGAAGCTGAATAACACATTTTTGAAGTGAAGCAAGAAAAGATATGCCTTTGCGGTGAGCCAACGTGTGTACATATGTGTTGAGGATGATGTTATACATTATATTCTCAACAAACAGTGGTACATTGTCACATCAGGGCAACCAGGTAGTGCAGATGAGCCCTATGTTCTCTATGTTAGTCTCTGTCCTCAGGCATGATAGAAGATACTGTTCTATTACTTATTTGAATTAAGATTCAACTGTTTTTATATTGTTTCTATATACAAATTTTAGTATGGTATACCAACTCAGTCCAAATGACTAATTTAATTTTTAAATTAAACTTGTAATCTGTAGTGTTATATGTGTATACACACACACACTAAATAACTATATACTATATAACTATATTACTATTACACACACACACACACACACACACACAGTATATAAGACTTGTTTCAGAAAAAGGGGGAGGAAAAAAGAAAACCCCGTATATTGAATTACAAGAGAAGGAAAAAAATCCCTAAAGGAGAAATTTTTTTAAAAAACAAACAAAAAATCCTGTAAGTAACTAGATAAATCTAAAAATTCAAAAAAATCACCTAAACGCTATCTGTTGGTTCATTTAGAGAAATATAGGTAGATCTCACACTATTACAATTATATAAATTTCTTTATTTTTTTCAACATTATGATTCAATCTTTAAACAATTAATCAACACATTTTTACTGTTTCTGTTATTGTTTTAATTGCTGTCAGCTACCCAGAGTCACACTTGTGAGATGGGCAGCTATACAAATTAATTAATTAAATATTGTCTGGTTTTACCTCTCATTCAGTACAGAGCTGATTCAAAGGATGAGAGTTGACAGATTTTGTTAAGACACTAAGATTCTGGGATATAAAGCATAATCACTTTTTCTGTAAAGGTCCAAGCTCAGTGTATCAAAAGTTCTTTATAGATTGAAAAGTTCCAGATTTGGAGGATATAATTTAACCAAACACCTAACATCATTAACCCTTAATTAACTTTGAAGAATCTGGGTCATGCTAATAACAACTAACCAAAAATGAACTGTATATAACATATGTACCAAAGTTCCTTCAAATGTATTACATCATCAGCATAAAAAAAGATGAGAGCCAACTATTTTTAAACATTCTCTGAGGAGTCAAATATACCCTGAAGGTTTTTCTTTTTCTTGGCAGAATTGACCTTTTAGGCCATAAGAAACTATCTAGCATTCTTTAAAATCTGAAGTTCTTGATAGAGCAATATAGGAAATTCCAATTTTCTATTCCAAAATTTTGTCTATGGTATATCAACTCAATCCATATGACTAGTTTATAGTTTGCTGTGCTGTATTTAATCAAATCACTATCAAAAAGCATTAAAAACCACTTCTTTTTCATGGGCCCATATGAAGTCCACTTAAAATAAATACATTTTTATATTTTACTTTTCAAGTATAGAGGTTATTATTATACATGATGGACCTTTTAGTTTAGAGGTTCCTTATTTTATCTTATATTAAATGGTATAATTTGTTTTATTCTACACAAGTCCTGCTGTTATAAGTGCATAATAAATTAAGCTACTACTACAACTATTTATGTAAAAATACAATTTTTTCTCCAAAATTTAATTTTAAAATATGATTCATCTTTGCTGACAATATGGTAATATAGCAGATTTCTACCTAACCTTTTGGCAGAGGACAGTTTGCTTAAATTCTGGTCAATTTCAGGTAAATACAGTAATTGAACACCCCATGTTTAAGCTTGTCCTACAGACATAGCCTTTATATGAAATGGGATGAGGTGAGCAATCAGTTTCTTTACCTCAGATAGCAAAATGCAGTGAGCTCTTTATATATATCGTCTATGCCATACTTTGCCATCAAAATGGACCAGCTGCCAGCCTCTAAAATTAAGTACTGCAGAACGTACTGAGGTCATAAAAAATAGCTGTAATCTCCACCCCAATATACGGTTCTTAACGATGAATTACATTACAAAGTTGTTGCAAATTATTTATTTTGGGGAGGGAGAGTATTTTAACATCAGTCCCGGCAAGGGGCCACATGTCTTATTATGAATCTATTCAGCTATAAGCAACTACAAAAGAAGAATTTCTGAAAATTTTATCAAACTAGGGAACGTTTTTTCGCCTGTGTTATATATTTTTATTTTACTTTTCATCTTCGTTGTAAGCTACACCAACAGCTTTGGTTATACAAGCAGCAGCCTATAAATAAATATTGGCGGGAAACCACAAGGCATAAATGATTGCGTATTTGTAGGTCATTACCAGCGTGTAAAAACGACACTGCCTTTGTAAGTCAGATTCCGGGGCGTTTCTTAGCCTCTCCTGATTTGCCAATTGCGTAAGTCTTATTTTACCGATTCCTTTCCTCTTGGCTACTATTGATGTTACCTTAAATGCGTGCGACGCACTTTGGCCGTGACGTCATTTACGGACGCCGGAGAGTGTCGGAGTTCAAGGCCTGCCGAGCGGCGTGTCCTGTTCCGAAAGAAGGACGTAGTCATTCGGGGACTATGGCCCCCGCTGCTGTCCTCTCTGCCGTGCAGCCTCCTGAGATCCAGTTTGCTCAGAGGTTGGCCTCCAACGAGAAACGGATTCGGGATCGAGCGCTGAAAAAGCTACGTGGCTATATCACGCTCAGGACCCAGAGTGTCGAAGGTAAGATTTAGAAGAAGCACGTGGGACAAAACATCGTACCAGGCCAGCGGTAAAGACGAAAATACACGTGTTATAGATAGGCACGGGAAGGACCCTCTCCAAAGCTATAGAAGCGAAAGATGGGCTTTAGGATGATGTATATATGAATAATAAGTGACATACCTGATATATTTTAACGGGCAAAATATGACAAATGGATATTTGTATGATTGCACTTAATCTTACATAGTTCTCGGCTAATAAGTGTGTATTTTCTGTCATATAAGCAGTTGCAGGGCAAGTTTCAATTTACTTCCTTTAATAATGGTTTCCTTTTGTGCTTTAGGTTGCTTCAGTCAAGAAGAATTGTTAAAAATATGGAAAGGACTATTTTATTGTATGTGGATGCAGGATAAACCTCTCTTGCAGGTATGTCATAGAATTATGGAGTTGAAAAGGACCATGGGGATCATCTAGTCCAGGGGTTCTTAGCTGGCAGGTCCACAATCCCTTTGAGGGTCCATGGATGCATTTCATGGCATCTGTGAACTTAGATGGGAAAAAAATACAATTTTATTTTCATATATATTACTATATTACATAATTGTTAGTTTTAATATTTTGATAACTGTACTTGAGCATAATTGGTTTCCATAGATTTCACCAGACTCTCAGAGGGGTCCATGGCGCAAAAAGATTACGAACTCCTGATCTAGTCCAACCCTCTTCAATGTACAGGGAAGCTAATTAAAGTTAAACCATCCATGAGACATGACGGTCCAGCTTCTTGAAAGCCTTAGAGATGGAGAACCTTCAACCCCCATACATTGACTACTCCATTGTACATCTAGTACAGATCTTACTAGCAGGAAAATGTCCCTTATATTTAAACAAAGGAGCTGCAATTTATATCCATTACTGATCCTAATTTCTGTGGAATGGAAAACTTACTCTTTTACTTATCTGAACCTTGATACCATCTCTTAGTCTTCTTTTCTCCAGGCTGAATGTCCCAAGTTCCTTCAGTCTGTCCTCGTAGGACATGTCCTCAAGTCCCTGTATCACTTTTGTTGCCCTCCTCTAAACCTGTTCTAACCTGTCAATATCCTTCTAGAAATATGGTGCCTAGAATCATACACAGCACTCCAGGTGTGGTGTCACCAGTGCAAAGTAGAGGGGAATAAAGACTTCACACATCTTGGATACAGTATTTCTTCTGATGCAGCCCAAAACTGTGTCATTGCTTCTAGCAGTTGCTTTACACTACTGGCTCATAGCTTGTTGTCAACTCAGTGCGTGCCTTTTATTTTTTCCTTACTAAATGTAATACTGTATCTTACATCACTTCTTGTTGAGGGAATATCATGTTCCTCTCAGACTAGTCTTCCAACCTCTCCAGATTATTTTGCAGTTTCATTCTGTCATTCTGGGTTTTTGTCAGATCTCCCGATTTTGTGTTATTTTGTGAAAACTTGCTAAGTAGCCCATCAGTGCAGTTATTCAGATCTTTAATAAATATGTGACTATACTGGGGTCAGGACAGATCTCTGCAGAACCCCACTAATTACTTCTCTCTAACTCAATGCAGTCAGTAATACTGACACTCTGAGTGCATTTAGCCAGCCAGTTGTATCACCCAAACCACATCTCAACAGTTTTTGATAAGAATTTCATATGGACCCTTGTCAAAAGTTTTGCTGAAATTGAACTAGACTGCATGTTATATCCACAGCATTCCCCTTGTCCGTTAAAATAGTTGTCAAAGAAAGATTTGTCTCACATGACCTATTTTTGACAACGCCATGCTGACTGTTAACAGTCACAATGCATATAAATGGCCTACTTTATTATCTGTTCTGACATCTTTCCAGGCATTGATACTGGTAATTACTGGCGTCCTCTTGGTTATTCCCAGTTTAGGATTTCTGAGTTTTTTTTAAATACACGGTTATGGAATTTACTTTTTAACACTGTGTTGTATGATACTCTTTTTATTATTATGGGAAACCAGGGGGAAGCAAGAAGTCAATGAATCTTTGTTGCTTTATAAAAGCTTTTTGTTCAAAATTTTACAGCTAGCTTAATGCAGCTGTGGAATCAAAACACAAGACTCAAATACAAAATAATCAAGGTTTCATTGCAGTTTTTATTAGACAGTGCGCACTGGAGGGGACCCACCAAGGGTCAGTGGGAGACACTCTCCTATAGGAAAAATAGATACCCTGATATTTATACACTTCTACAAGAAGAGGAAGGGAAAAAGAACGCATACACTTACATATTCATATGATGATGCAGGCATACCTAAATAAGCAATACTTCTCAAGTTACTTTCTGCCTCTCGTCTGTCTACTGTCTTCAAGGAAAATAATAGTATCACAAAGAAGAAGAAACAAATTAGTTCAAGGTGCCAAATGCCAGGAAAAATGCATCCTCCTTCAAGACAGATGCCTTGGTATACAGGGATGTTTGTGATAAGGCTTTTTACAACTAGCCTAGTTCCCGCCAGCTTCAAGGGTGCTGCACATATCTTTTATATTTCAATTTTATTAATGCGATCCCATTCATCTGAGGCCTCTAAAAACTTGCTTCTTTCACCCAAAGATGTATTTTCCTCACACAGCTATATTAAATCTGGTATTAGTATACTGTATAATATACATGCTCATCTGTTACTCATTTATAGACGTAAGGGAAACACATATTCATTGGTATTCATAATAATTTACCTGCATTGTATGCTACCTACTCTTTGGAATTCCAGGCAGCAATAGTATTGATGGGTTCAATAATAGGTATTTTGACTATTGCCCCCAAATTTTCCTTTTACTTCTACAGGAACGAGGCTGAAATAGACAAAATTCTTTATGCCAAGGCAGTGAATTCATACCTGAGATGGTATTTGTGTTGAGACATGCCAAGCTTATGTCAGCTTTTCCCAACCTAATACTTTTCAGTTTTGTTTAGGCAGCAGTTCGTATCATCCCAGCCAACATAGCTAGCACAAATTTGGGAAGGCCCTCTGCTGGGGAACCATTATATGTATGGTTCATAAATTTAAGCTATTACATTCATTTTTGTTTTTATTTTTAGGGGTTATTTTCTGACTATACTCAGAAATTAACTGGTGAACCTCCTCATATTTGCAGCTGTATAACAAATTGTTTATTCTATACTAATTGATTATCAGCTTTTAAAGTAATTAACCATTTTGGTAGATTAATATTCTGGTATACTGAAATCGGAAATATAAACTGACTCTCAAGGCTTGTCCACAGAATTATAACTTAAGAGTCTCATGATCACATATCAGGCTGTTGGAGCTAAGAAACCTCTGTACACAGTTATGAGTGCTTGTTCTGTCTTCAGTGTCAGAGTGCCTTTATGTTTAACTATGACAGAGGAACTTAATCAAGCTAAAATTGTATTGGTGCTTATATTATGTCAATCATCAAACAGTTTTCTGTATTTAGGGAAGGTCAGAGAGCAATATTCAGCCTTTCTGAATATTGATAGGAATCTACTTTTGTGACGTTGCATACTAAACAAAATTCTAAATTTCTAGGAGGAGTTGTCAAATAATATATCACAGCTAATCCATTTAATCGAGAATATGGATACTCGTAAGTCTCTTTATATTTCTTTCTTTTATATTCTGGAGCTTGTAGCCAAGGCTTTGTATTGCACATGTAGGAACAGTGCAAGGAAGAGTCAGATTTTGGAGCCTGAAGTTTATTTCCTGTAGGCACATCAGTTTTCTTAAACAGCAACAGCAGCAATCATATTTCTACACATATCATTCTGGAGCAGAGTATAGCAAGCTGGCATTTACTGCAGGCCTGCATATTAGTAATAATATGAAGGGTTAAATGGCAACAGAATTGAAATTCTATATAGCTTTATAGTCTGGAAAGAAGTAGCAAAAAAGCCCCAAATTTGAATGGTTTTAAAAAGGGTTTAGATAACTTAAGTCAAAATATCCATTGGTTTGAGGACACTCTCTCCGTCTTTTAGCTTTTGTATATTTTTGTAAAGATTTTTATCGCTTTTTATCACTTTTTTATTTGTAAGCTGCCTAGAGTCACTTATACATGAGATGGGTGTATAAATTTGATTAATAAATAAATAAATAACTTTATATTGCTGCCAGTATGAGAGGCAATGCATCTCTGAATATAAGTTCCTGGGAAATATGGATAGGAGGATGCTATTGCACTCTGTTCTCCCCCTCCTTACTTTATCACCCATGGGGAATCCCCACTTCTTCCTTAAAGCAGGCTATGGATACCCAGGGCTTCACTTCCCTTGGTGTGTCTGCTGCTGGGAATCTTAAAGATTAGTTTTTCCATGATATATGAAAAGTGACTGAAAATATTGGAGAAGAACTATTTGTAAATTTTTTTTAAAAAAAGTACAACTAATATGGAACTTAAACATTATACTGGTTTCTCAAAAACAGGGCACTTGTTCATACAGACTTTCTGGCAAACCATGAATCGTGAATGGAATGGATTAGACCAATTGCGGCTAGATAAATTTTACATGGTAAAGTTAAATTTTTCTTCCCTTTTTAAAGGCAGTTCCTTGAGAAAGAGTGGGCATAGAAAATGTCAAGAGATTTATTGTTCCACAACAAAAGTTTTACTTTCGAAAATGGGATTGGTAATATAACAAATTAACATTTATTTTCAATGCCATCATTTTCTCATTTAAATAATGTAAGGTGTGCTATTGCCATATGTTCATATTCTTATTAAAAAAAAACCTTCCTAAGCAAAAGGAAATTTGTTTGAAAATAACTTGTAAATCATAGTAAGCGCACATTATTAATCTTAATCCATTATTTTATTTAGTTACTCGAATAATTAATGTATACTGCATATAAAATTAATGTAACATTACTGACATTTTTAAAAAATCTATATATACATACATACATACATATATATATATATATACACACACACACACACACATACACATACACACATGGCATGGGTCCAGGCTACCTGAGGGACCGACTCACCCCATCACATCGACTCATCCCATCCGGTCAGGCAGAGAAGGCATGTTGCAGACCCCGTCAGCGAGAGAATGTTGGCTGGCGGGGCCCAGGAGGAGAGCCTTCTCTGCCGTTGCCCCCGCCCTCTGGAATATTCTCCCCCCAGAGGTGCGGCAGGCCCCTACCCTCCCGACTTTCTGGAAAGGACTAAAGACCTGGCTCTGCCAGCTTGCATGGAGCAATAAGAGTTTTAACCAACCCTGGGGGTGGCTGGTGCCCTGATGACATTCCCTGAACCTAAAACTTGATAGTTACCATCAATCCTTGGAATATACTTATTTATTTAGGACTACTCTTATATTGTATTTTTAATTAATTTTATCTTTTCTGTAAAACCACTTTTTAATGAGAGGGGCAGTGACAAATTTGATATATAAATACATAAATAAATAAAAAGTCAATGGGGAAGCTGGCAGGGAAGGTCATAAGTCACTCCTGCCATTTTTTTTCCTCAAGCCCCACGAGATCCCAAAGATCTCATGCTCTGTAGCACCTCCCCACCCACCAGCACTCCGTAGTGTGCACACATCTGCCCCTGCCAGCCAACCCGTGCTCCCTAGTGCCTGCCCACAGCCCCTGCTGGCCCATCCACGCTGCCTAGCACTGGCTCATGGTACCCACGCTCTCCCCAACATTCTTTGCCTGGGACTCCCACCTCTTCCCACTTAACAACCTGTGCAGCACTGGGGTTACTGTCGGGCCTAGCCCAAGAAACTCCAGGAGACCATGTAGAATCAATCCAGCAAGGTTTATTAGCTACAACCCCTTAACAAGAATCTTCCC